AACCTCCTCGTGCATGGGAGCAGGGGTGGGAAGCAGGACCCCAGCAGTGTTTCGGCAGTTTTGCCCAAGAGGGAGCTACCTGTCTGCTGCTAATGGGCTGGAGGCATGTGGTCTGCCTTCAGCCGCTCTCCTTCCTCCTCCAAGTCAGCTGAGATGTCAGAAAGATCCAGGCAGCGGAGGATTGGGTTTGGCATCGCGTCTGAAGAATGCAGTGGGAGCACAAGCCGTGCCGTGCCAGCGGTTGTAGTTCCTGGGGGACGATGGATGCGCAGTTCCCCTGCTGAGACCAAAGGAACCGCAGTTAATTCCTGTTCCCTTCCCTCTCTTCCAGGGGCTGATAGTTCTTGGTGAAGCATCACCCCCTGATCCTGCAGTAGATGATGCGTCCCGTCCCGTTAGTGCTGAAGTTAAGCTGGAGCCTGGGGCTGACCGGCTGGTAAGTGCCAGCAGCAGAAGCGACTGGGTCCAGATACTTCATGTTTCGTGAATTTTGGGTAGGGAAGGTTGATCCTTTGAGCCGTGCCGGAGAGAGATGCTCAAACCGCGTGTCCGGCATGGGACTGGCCTCCAGCAGCAGCATCTCTCTGCGGGACTTCACGTGGGAATTGCTGATCCGTCGGTCTGCGTAGGTCACCTCCTCCCAGGTTATTTTGGGGTTAATAAACGATACGATTTAAACACCTTTTAGAACAGAGTTCCTCGGGGAACCTTTGTAATATGCATTAGCATTTTGTGAAGCTTAAAAATCCTAACTAATCCTTTCCCTCTAGCAAAAGCACCTCAAACTGAGAGCAGCACAATTAGCAAAGGCTTCTAAAGATGTGGCTATTAATATCTCCCTGAGTGTTACCCCTTGGAAAGGGAACTAATCATTTCAGTGAGATGCTCTGGAAACTCTGCGGAGTGCCAGGTATTTATTATTTAATGCAGAAATGTAGGACACAGACTAAAGGCTCGATCGTACTGTTCAGCCTGGCTGTGATTACTTTTGATCCTGTGGGACACATCGGCGTATTAAAATGGAGGATTTTGGAGTTGTGGTGTAGTACTAGGAGAAGGGTGGGCCCTACGTGGCTCAAACTCCTGCTGCCGCGCTCCTGCTTTTCTGTCTTCATGCTGCATTTTGGGAGAATCGGAGCTTCGCTGCAGCGGGAGCGCTTGAGTTTCATTGACCAGTGTTCAATGTAGTTGATACAGGTAAAAAACTTAACTAGAAGCGACCCTAAAATTGTACTTGGAGCGTTTTCTTCCATCACTGGCGAGACTTTGTCAGAGTTTTCCTGATACTGAAAGATAATCTGAAATACTGCGAAATTTTTGAGAAACGCCGGACCGCAATGGGGTTATTACGAGTGATTGTAATAAAATATCTCCTCGCTTGACACTGGCTTTCAGATGTGTGTTTGGAATTGAAGTCTTTGATTAGCTGAGCCCAAAACTCTGCTGGGTAGTTGGGTGCAACGAGCAGGTTTTGCTCACGAATGAAATAGTAGATGGTGCTTCAGATGAAAACAGAGCCGCGCTGGAGGAGCGACGGAGGCTGGAGAGCCAGGATGACAGGGGCTGCCATGGATCATGATTGAATCACAGCATTACGCAGCGTCTGCTTTGAGCAGTGATGTCCGTCTGTCGTGTGCCCCCCCTCGGCCCCCCCTTTTCATGCTTTAACCCAAAAAGTGCTCCAAGAATAATAACCAAGTGCAGTGACAGCGTCCTCCGGCACTGATGAATCAGCTGTTATTTGGGAGCTAATCTGCAAATAGCAGGCTGATAACAGAGGTAAATGATCAAATTTAACAGTGAGAGGAAGAATATTTTCTTCTTTTATCTGTTTAAATCAGATGTTAGTCTGACACAAGTGTATTTTCAACCTGGAAATGTGCAGATGGAAGGACTGTGTCCCACCTGACTTTGTCCCTACACTTTGAAGATGTTTTCCTGCTTACAAAATCATCGCATTGTCCTTTTTTAGGTTGTCTTAAAACATCATCTCTCTGTATAGAATAGAAAATGTCTATGGATTTCTGATGTATGGAAAAGAAAATGCTTGTTTGGCCAGTGCTGTCTGGTCTTGCTGCTCACAGCCAGCTCGCTGTTGCTGTGTTTACTCATTTCCCACATTGTCCCTTTTCTCATCCCTTTCACTTGGAGTTGAGCTCTTCAGACGGAGACTTTTATTACTGCAGCATTAGTACCATGGAGAACCCATCTCTTGCAGGTCTGAAGAGGTAACAGTGACACAAACAATAGATAATGAGAGCAGTGAAGATGACATTTTTGGTATAAAGCAGGCTGCAGGTTCCTCCTTGGCACCTTCTTCTGGCTACTCCTGCTGCCGTGCTTGCCGTCTTGGAGACTAACTCCTCTTGAAATGGACTTTTTATTCCGCTTCCACATGTGGCTGCTGATGGATGCTCACATCTCACCACGCCGCTGGCTTCTCTGCGGCAGTGCTGGAGGTGTCAGGCACCAGAAACGCTGCCTACAGGCACCTGGCTTCTGCACCCTGCTGCTGGAGGGTTTGTGCTTCATTAGCCTTGCTCATAAGGGTGGGGTGTTGAGTCAGAGCCTTGATCTACTCCGAGCCAGAGATAAGCCCAGAGACCATTCCTGTTGCGTTAGGACACTTACTGGAAGGATATCTCTTGGGCCTCTCCTGGAGAGGTGCTTATCATTTTGGCACTTCTTGTGCTTTTTTCTTTTCTTTTTTTTTTTTTTTTCCCCCCCCTCCAAACTGGCAGACTAAGAGACCAGTCCACAACGTGGATTAAGGGGAGAAATCCATCCCCTCTCATCCCCAGCTCCTCTTTGGATCTCATCTACTCATGGATACCTCCCTTGGCCAGTGTGAGTGCAGGATAAATGTCCTTGGGCATCAGCTTGATATGTGGGATGTGGCTGATTAATCCCTGGAAGGAACTAATCCTATCGTGAGTGGAGAGAAGGGCTTTGCAATGGCCTGGGAATGTCTGTCGGGAACTGGAAGCTCAGTGTATGAATAAATATTTTTGCCTGAAGACAGGAGTAACACGAAGCCCTGGAGAGATAACTCAGCTGTTGATATGGGTTCATTGCTGGTATTGCTAGTCTAGCGAGGGGGTACACTTAAAAGGTACACTTAAAATTTTTAATAGTAAATGAGAAAAGATACTGATGGAGTGTGTCTTGGTAAGGCTTTTCCCTGCGTTAGGGATTTGTATCTAGTAATGTCTGAACCTGTCTGGCTTTGTTTGGGTTTTTTGGGAATGTGGGGGGACATTCCAGTACACAGCTTCCTTACTGCTGTGAGAGCCCCTGGTAGTCTGCAGGCTCCTGGTTTCATGTGCAACAAGCAGGTGTGCTAAAGCTGAATCTTTGATTCTGCTCCCAAGAGTCCTGGGAATCCTAAAGGCCTGGACTTCCAGACCTCAGGTGTACCCAAAACACAGAGAAAAGCTCAGTCTGGGAGCACTGATGTGATCCTGGTGTGATGGACACTCCCCTGGATCCCAGCCTGGCTGCCCAGCCAGCCCCAGAGGAAGGCACGGCATTGAGAGGTGCATCCAGGAGGAGCTGGTGCAAGAGCTCCGCCTCTGCTCTGAACACTGGAGATGTTGGCTCTTGCGGTCCTGCTCATTCCCCCGTTGCTTGTGTCAGAGCCTTATTAGGGTGCACCCATCTTCAGTGTGATACAGTGACCTCGGGCTGTTTCTGATAAAGAGCCTTTGGATTGATGCCTTCCAGCTCCTCCGTGAGAAGCAGAAGGGTCGCCCTCTCTTCCCATCTTGAACCATCGAGCAAGAGACACCTCTTGGAGAAGAGGTTCCTCCTTTAAGACCCTTTCTGGAGAAGAAAATAAATACCCTATTTCAAAAGAGCTTATGAGTCATGTGTACCCGCCCTCCTGAACCGTGGGTGCCTCCGGCGGAGGTGTCACGTGAAGGCTCAGCCTTGCCAAGCCTCTGGAAACCAGAGGGAAAACGTTCAGCTCCTGCACGGGCTTCACCTCGCCAGGGCGCCCGGTTGTGTTTGCGTAACGCTGCTGGTGCGATCGGATCTCGCCCCTACGTCTGCACGCTCAGACCAAGTATCGGGGACGAGCAGGTCGGTCCGATCCTGTCTCTGCCCACCCCCCCAAGAGAAAGGTCTTTTTTGCAGAAGTGTAGAAAACCCAGCAAAGTTCCTCAAGCAGGCAACAGGCAGAAGTTGTCCATGTTGTCGGAAATTGCTGTTCCCTTGGTGAGTCAGGTCTCTGGAAACCGTTAGTCCAGCACTGCCGTAGCCGGATTTTCGTTGTTCGTTGGGTTGGGGGAGTGATTGCAGGGAACCTTCTAATGAATGCAGTACTGATGCTGTTGAGATGGAGTATGTGACGAGCAGGGAGGGCTGGCTGGTGGGTTGGACGTCTTTGTCGATAAGTCAAGGCCTTTTCTTTTGTCTTTTTTTTACTAGTACTTGAAAGGCACCGCCGCCCTTGCGTGTGCGAAGGGGGAAACCCAGCTAGAGAGAGATTGGCAGCAAGCGTAGGAAGTGCTGCACGAAGGAAGAAACGACGTTTCTCCTCTCCAGGGCAGAGGAGGAGCGTGTCTGAAAACAAAAAGAAGGGGCTGCGAGGATGAGACTAGGGATGATGAGTGCCAGGGGTATGAACGTGCTGGACCACGCCGTCTCCTGCCTGGGCGGAGAGCAGGAATTTTTTTGCAGCGTGTCCATGGAGGCTGTGGGGACAGTCCGTGTCCGTGGAGGCTGCGGGGACAGTCCGTGCCCCCCGTCGAGGCCGGGCACAGGGCACCAGGAGACGTGCAGCATCCCGTGCTGCAGCCATGCAGTGGCTGCTGCTCAGTGCAGGGCGAGGGGCTCTGTGTTCCAGACCCAGGGCAGGAGGGATTGAGGAGCTCGGTGTCTTCAGCTTAGTTTTTACCTGCTTTCCTCCAACAAAAAAAGTGTTTCCAGCTTTGTGTTCATCAGGCAATTTTGGCACTATAGAGTTGGCCTGCTTGTAAAACACCACTTGTGTGCACAGTCATTTAAAAATACTTTTTAAAGTGCTGTCTGGACCGTGTTTGCACGGGTATTTAGCTAAAATGCCAATTCAGTTTTGCAAGTCTGTTCTCCTCTCCTTGTGCTCCCGTTTTCCCCCAAAGTGCTTAGACAAGAGCTCGCAGCCCTGTGACTTAGAAAGCACAACACCAAACTCGAGAAGAGCCTGCAAGGTTTGCAGGTGGTTATGAACTTGTTTGCACTATTGAGACAAAAAGCTAAAATACCCTTAGAGACCTCGGCCTTTCGTATTCCTTACTGGTTGCCTGAGGGGAATTGAACTCTTTTGTTTCGTGTATCCATCCTCTTGCCAGAACTGCTTCCTAAAAAGTCCTTACATCTCCAGCCTCCTGTTCACATAGTGACTTATGAACCTTTGTTTGGAAACCTGTGGCTACGGTGCAGAATCCTCAACTAGAAACTGGGAATAAGAAAATTGTAGCTATATAAGAATCCTTCTAAAATTAATTTATTATCTTTCTCATCCTTCCTTAGAGTGTTTCTGGATCCCAGCCACTAGAGAACTTGGGTATTTCCGCTGCAAATACTCCTGAATCCCATCCTGTCAAGCCCTGTGGAGCACCAAGACCCGTCAATGGAGTTATTAACACGTAAGCTGCTTGTGTATTGTGGGAAGAGCTTGATTTTTATCATCTTGATGAAGGCCCATGGGAAACCAGCCTGTAACACGCTGGTTTGGTTGGTAGTGGCTGGGTTGTTAATGGTATAAATGGTCTCTTTTTGAAAAAAGTGTGGTAGTAGATGATGCTTGGAAAGATTTTGTTGGAGATGGCTTGCTTGAGGTTTTCTGCTGCATTGTTTTTCTGAAAATGGTATTAAACTGAGCTGTGTTTACACGAGCGAGCCCTACAGGCAGCCGTGCGATGGGCGTGTTCAAAACTGTTTCTTTATGGGTATTTTTAACACACTTGCAAATTGTATGATTCGAAGGCACTAGTGGCCCACTTGCAATTATTTTGCAGAATTATCTGTAACCACTGGCCTGTTTTTCTGGAGATACTGAGGAACCCAAATCCCATTGATTTTAGGAGTAAGACTTGCTAAATTCATTTTTTTTACTCCAGAGTGTTTTTGTTGAGTCTTTAAGTGGGTAAATGAAAACAAGCGAAAGAAATTCTCCTCTGCTACAGGATGATTCCAGGGTTGAACCACTTGAAAACCCTTGAATGCACAGTGCAGAGACGTGCCGCCAGCACCGTTGCACGTGCTTAGTACCTGGAGGAGGGAGGGATGCTGCTCCGGTGCAGCGTGAGCAGGCGTGGAAAGCACCGATCAACCAGCTCAGTGCTGCAGCTGTCGGCCGTGACGGAGCCCGTTATATGCCTGGAGCCTTTGCAGAGCCTCAGGCCACAGGGCTTTCATGTTTTGCATTTTTAGAAATGAAACACTTGTAAAATATAAGTGAAAATACATCCGTAGGTGAGGTATTTGGTGGGTGGCATGGTGTGTTGGTGCCGTGGTAGGGCAGGGGTGCTGCGTCTGGATGGGAAACTCCTTTGGAGGTAAAACAGGTTAATGTTGACAGTGCGCTTTTCCGGTGGCGTTACTGGGAGTTGCTGGAGGTATAGTTCTCAAATATTACTCAGAATCAAGTTTACATCTAGGCTAAATATTTTTTCTAGAAAATGATACATTCTCTGACATTTAGACTCATCAGAACCTCTTGTATTAAGATACCCTGAGCTGTAATTCTGGGTGAAACTGAATTCTAGGATTAACGCTGTTCAAGGCTGGAGTAACTTTTGGTCTTGTTCTGTGTCTGGCTTTACATGCTATTTTTTGTTCAGATCTTCCGAAGGTATTTTGTCAAAGGTTGGGAGAGTGTGGAAAGTGACCAAAGTACAAGCAAAAATTAAAGTTACCTTAATAAAAGATACTGCTTCGTGAAACTGCAGTGCTTTAAACTCGGAGTGTTGGCTGAGGTCTGGATTGTGAACCTGGCTGGTACCGCTGGATAACGTGGGATGGTTGAATGAATAACACGATCTTTTTTTATCCTCTTCTCTTTGGGCAGTCTTCAGCCTGGCCTGGCAGAACATGCTCAGGGAGATGGCCAGGAAGCTGAGGAGCTCTTGCATAAAAGGCAACGACTGAACATGGTTTCTTCATCTTCGGATGGAACGTGTGTAGCAGCTCGCACTCGCCCGGTACTGAGCTGTAAGAAGCGACGGCTCGTTCGACCGAGCAGCATCATGCCCCTTTCCAAAAAGGTTGGTGCTCTTTGGGTTTTTTGATGCAGCGTATGGCTAAAGCTCCGCACCAAAAAGCCTGGTGAGGTCCTGATGCGTTGGTCCGGTGTGCTTTTGCTCTTTGCATGAAGAGGTCTCCCTGTTTTGGGAATGTTTGTGGTTATTAAGAGGGGGGAAGAGTAACGGGGAGGAAGAGGAGTCCAGCTTCAAAGACTGTTAGAGAAATAAAGGAGAAACGAAGGAGAAGCTTTTAATTTGTTGGAAGAATTTTCATAGCTGTCACTGGGGAGAGGAGATGCTGAACCCTGATGTGAGTTTTGTTTTCTAAAACCAACCCGAGGCGACCTTCGGGCCAGGCAGTTCAATATGGCACAGTCTGAGCAGTCGGAGGAAGCTCGGAAAAGTCAAGTGTCAGGAAACCTGAACTCTGAGCACAGGAATTAGCACACCCAGGACCTCGCTGCTGCTTCTCAAAGAAAAACTCCAGTTGTCTGGCCAGGCGTGCGTGGGATGTCTTGCAAAAGGCCGGCCGAGGTGGTCGTGTTCGCTTCCGCTCCTTAAGTTTGGAAATCACCGAATGCCACGACTGCTCCTCGTTTTGTTTTCGTTTATTTTTTATTATTTTATACTCCTCTCCCTTATGCAGAATTCAGTTCAGTGGAAAGACAGTTTATTGCCTCTATGAGGAAAGGCTGCGCTTCATTCTTTTTAATTTCTCTTAGGAATGCCATAAACTGGCAGTTGGAGGATGGATAGTTAGAAATTGAGGGAATAAAGACCTTTTTTTGTGCATGCAGCTGTCATGATTGCAGCACCATAGATGGCGAAAATCCACTTACCTTTGAGTCAAAGTGTTTCAAGTCAAACTTTACCACAAGGGTTTGGGGGTTTTCACTCTGCGGGTGCTGGAGTTTTAAAGAGAAGCTCAAAAAAGCAACATTTTTCTGAGCAAAATAGATTTTTGCTCAGCTGAGTTAGCTTTAACTGATAACTCATTTGCAGTTTTGTCTGAGGTATTTCTGGTAGAGCTCTGCAGTGACTCCTGGCAAGATCTTCAGTGGTTTGGAAGTTTATGAACTATCTCGTAGGCGATGCTGACTTGTGCACTCAGTGTTTGAAGAAGTGGCTGTTAATTCTGTGTTAGATCTTGACTGTCGTCATCAAACCCATTTGATAATCAGAGATGGTTCAGAAGAGCAGTTCCAAAGGATGGAAGATGTGCCAGATAGCAGAGAATTTCTGTGGACCACTCCAGTTATTTCAGAGAAGGCTGAGTGATGGCTAGATCATGGTCCAGAAATACTATGTCCACCTGACCACACTCTGTCCAGCACAAAATGGTTGTGGATTGCGGTGACTAGAAGTTAGAACTAGGAGAATTCGCTGTTTCAATAGAGATCATCCATACCTGTGCCTACAGTTTACAAAATCACATTAATCCTCTGGGCAGAACTGCTGCTCATTTACCTCTTCCACCTCTTCACTGGGTGCTGAAGTGTCCCCTTGTTGAATTTGCCCTCGGTGAATGATATTTGATTTATTTTGATTTTATTGATTTATTTTAAATCGTTTCTCTTAATTTGTAACCATGGATGGGTTTTCAGCTCTTTCCTTCAAGGTACTTGCAGCCCTTCCCGGTTCTAGTGTTACTTGCTAAGGCTTAAGGATATTATCTCTTCCATCATTCAAGTCATTATCACTTACACATCATGGAAGTGATTTGGATGATACTGACTCTGAATGACTTCTGCAGGATCCAGTTTGATACATCCTTCCATTTTGATGGGGAATCATAGGTTGCTGTCTCAGTGCGGGGTTTACAGCCAGTTGTGCATCTGCCTACAGTGTTTTCGTATAAACAAAGTCTGTATAAAATCTGTAAATCTGTGAATTGAAAGTCTGCCCTGGTTTAAGAAACAAGGTTGAAAAACACTCTTCTTCACTCTGTAAAGATGTCCCTGTGTCAGCTCTTGGCATACAGTGATGGCTCTCTGACCCGTCTGAACTCAAAAAGGCTTTTTTTTCCCCCTGTCTGACAACTGAATTGTGCTGCCTCATGATTTTTATAAATGAGGTTTCAACCTAGATAAAATTAAACACTTTTAGTCCAATTTAGTAGAAGTTAAACAGTCTGTGCTGGTGAGGAGTAGTTTTCAGTTGTGTTTGTGCAAAGTGAAAGTGTCCTTTTATGAGTCCAGACTAAATGAACAGGTTTTGTACAAGATTCTAAAAACCAACCAAAGCAAAACCGACAGCCTTTTGGATGTCTTTCATACGCTGTCAAAGGGAGATGTGCAAAGAGAGCCCTTAGGCATGTCGACCTCCGATATGTTGACACCGTTCTCTGTCCCCTTTCCAGGTCCATCGTAATAACCTGGTGCGATGTAGCTGTGATGTGAACCCTTCATGTGCTCTGTGTGGCACCCGAAGCTCAACGACTCTGGAAATCCAGTATGATGCCCCTTTGCTGGAGCGCCTCTCCCAACTGGACTCATGTATTCATCCTGTCCTGTCATTCCCAGATGGTAAGCACAGCACCCACGGAGCTGCCAGGGGTCCAGCTGGGTCCTGAGATGGGTTACAAGGGATGCTTGGAGGTGCTCCAGAGCCTGCTCCTCCATCCTGGGCTTCCAGAGGAAGTGCTTGGGTACGGCTGAGCTTATTCATCTGCAAGTATTTTTAGGAGCAGAGCATTTACTGGAGCAGAAGGGTCTGGGAATGTGTTACACCTGAAGTCTGCTCTGCTGCGAACGTGTGTTATGGGAACCTGACCCCAAGCTTTGTTCAGGGCAGAGAAACCAAGCAGTGACTGGGAGTCTGTACTGGGACCTGGGTCTTAGGCTGGTGTCTTGTGTGGCTGTAAACCACTTGGGAAATATTTGCTTCCACAGTTTATTCATCTGTATAAAATTATTTGCGAGTTGGTTTAAGTCACAGGAAATTTTTTTTGACCTTGTAAGGAATTGTGAATGATCATCCACGGTTCAGAGGGTACAGTGAGAAGGGATGTTCCTGTTAAGACACTCGTTTCCCTGTGTTACGGAATCAGGGTTAATCATCATTAAGAGGAATAACTAACCAACCCTGACTGTGGGGTATTCACAGATTTCGTGTGGAGGGACTTTTCCCAAGGGAAAAGAAGTAGTTTCCAGACCGTTCTGCTTTCTAAACTGCCAAATTAAATACAAGCCTGTTCTTTGACCAAAAACTACTGGCTTGCATGAGATTGGTGTCCATCTGTCACCTTTTTCCTCTGATCATGAAATACAGGGCCACAAATGATAGGAACTGGTACTTTTATCAGGAGAGCCAGGCAGTAAATAGATCATAGCGGTTCCTTTCCTGGGTGGGAGTGCTGCTCGAGGTGTAAATCACCACTGGTGGTGCTAGGAGGAAGGAGTGTGTCCCTGCTTCTCATGAGGATGTAAAGGGGTTGGTCCAGGTGAAGACACTGGGCTAACGTGCGTTTGGGTTTAAATTCCAGCTTTGCACAAACTTCTTGTGACTGTAAGAAATGCGTGGAGTGTCTGGGAACAATTAATCTGGCATCTTTCACCAGCCCTATATTTAAAACAGACCGAAATAGTAAATTGGTGCTATTTTTAAAAACGAAATCCCTCACCCCTCCAAAGACACGTCTCTCTTAAGGAATGCTAAAGGAACTTCAGGCACTGAACTCCTGAAGCAGAAGTTTATTTCCTGACTTCACAGCGCTTGCAATCCTCTGTCTGTGGCGTTAAATCCGATACCTTGGGAAGTGGTGAGAAAACCTGTTGTGCACTATTACACCGCGGCCACCAGACAAATTACTTCATCCCGTAGTCACTTGCCATTTTCTGGGGGTCAGCTGCAGCCAGTCCACATGGTAAAAAGATCCGTTCTGG